AGATACCAGCACTGAGCACAATACTTGCACATAAAACCAAAACCCGTTGCTGTCGAGTTGATTCCGACTCATAGTGATACTATGGGACAGAGTAGAACTACCTCATAGGGTTTCCAAGGCAGTAATCTTTCTCCTGCTAAGCAGCTGGTGGGTTCAAACCACCAACCTTTCAGTTAGCCGCTGAATGCTTTAACCACTGTGCCACCAGGGCTCCTTTACTAATTATTTATTTAATAAACATATTATTGACTGTTCACAAGGCAGATTTATTTCATTATCCTTGAGTAATAGGTGATGATGTAATTCTTCTATATATACACACGCATACCTAGATATATATATTTGAATAAACAGATTGGATAAACTGTTGTTTCGCTTAGGACTTTTGAGCCTATAATCATAAGCAAAAGGAGTATGTCAGTTTTTCTCATATACTGTCTTTAATTTTTAAAGCAAGATTAATACTGTTGTTGTTGCTAGTTGCCATTGTGTCAATTCCAACTCATGGCGACCCCATGTGTGCAGAGTAGAACTTCTCCATAGGGTTTTCAAGGCTGTGACCTTTCAGAAGCAGACTGCCTGGCCTGTCTTTTGAGGCGCCTCTGGGTTGGCTCGAACCACCCACCTTTTGGCTACTAGTCAAGTGCTTAACCGATACTAGCCCTCTAAAATGAGTTCGGAAGCTTGCTTTCTTTTTGATTTTATGAACTAAATTATTTAGATAAAATTTCTCCTTCAAAGTTTGTAAAAATCACCAATAAAGTCACCTGAGCCTTGTGGTGTAGTGGACAGGATGGGGAGCAGTACCACTCAAATCTCCAAGTTTGCCTGTATTTGTTGCTGTCTATTCCATGCCCCAACCAAGCTCTGGCGAAACCCTCGTACTGTCCCATCCACCCTTGTAATGCTGGACTCATGGTCAGGTTTCTCTAACTTGAATGGTGATGGTAATTACTTCCGTGCAGTATTCTTCCTAGCTTGCAATAAGGGAAAGAAAAGAACTTGACAAAGAAGCTATTCCCAATAGTGGCACCTTCTGCCCAGGCCGCCATTTTCTTTCTATACCAGGTCACCACTGCCTTTCACCTCTCTAGGGGCTTAGAAGAGCTTTCCTCTTACCTCTTCAATCCTATCCCTACAGATGCAGCATTGATTTTGGAGAGAGCTGGTGATCTGTGCTGTTTCATCATCTTGTTCTACAGCAGCAATTTATTTTATGTGAATAGTATTTATCATTAATTGCAAGCCTACTATGTGTCACATACTTTAAAATATATTTCTTTATGTGATCCTCACAGTTGTACTATGTAAGAGAGGTGTTAGTTTTATCTCCACATTTTTAGGATAAGGAAATGAGAAAGTTTTAAGTAACTCACCCAAGTTAACATGGATAACAAATGGCAGAGCAGAGACAAAACCAGTTCTGTCCCAAGTTCAGACAATCCTAGCATGCTCAACACTGTATAAAGCACAGGTACAGACAGAAGATTTAATTGCCTTGAATTACCTGAGATATTCTATACTTAGGGATATAAACCCTGATTTTAATAAAATTACTCTTTTAAGTACTATCTAATGTCAGTATTAACCTCTAGCAAAGACACAGGAGCACAGGTTTTGCTATTTTCTCCTCAGGAACTTAGGAGGTTTGTTTCTCAAAGCTCTGCTGAGGAGATCTCTAAAGCTCACACCCAAGCCCTCAGACTAAATTCCTGTGGTATTTACCTAAGATTTAGCTGCTTGTCATCACTTAAAGACTTACTCCTAAGAGTTTCTAGAAATGTAGGAAAGGAGGCACCATCTACCCACCATCCACCTAGATGTCACCAATACCACTTTCTTCTCCCATATCCTCATTATCATTCTTCTTGTTTTTTTCTGTTTCTCGCCTCTCATCTGTTGGGTATTATTCAGAGAACTAATCTATTATATTAGTGAAGGAAACTCTATCACGGTTGGTTAGTAGAAATAAAATGTGTAGAATTTAGTACATTTAGGATAAAGCATGCCAGTCAATAAAGTATTACGGAGAGAGCAGAAAAACCTGGAAGAATTGCACTAGGAAAAGGTGAGCCAAGAGCACACTGGAAGTATGGTCATGGTTCAATAGAAGCTGAACTGCACATTTAGATGAGACCTCCTGTTCATGTTAATGACATTATAACTAGCAAATTGGGTTATTTCCATAGTTTTAATCCTCTAAATAGCTCAACTTCCTACATTATTGTTCAGAGGATTTTATTTTGTGTTTAGATGTTTCCTAGAACTATCTTTCCATATTAAAATGTCCAGATCAGAGAACATAATCTATTTTGGTTTTGAATTTTGCTTTGTGGATTTAATCTACATATAAAAAATATATTATTCATTTTTATTTCAGTGTTTTTTAAGTTTGATACAAAATAATAGTATTATATTCTGTCTATAGATTATATTTGGGTGCCATTTATCAGAGATGGAAAATTGGGTAGTATGGTCCTTTATCTCACTTAGTACAACTCTGCCATATATCTTTCTTTATTCTAGTCCTCTGCATATTCTACCAAAACCAAACCAAACTCATTGCCGTCAAGTCAATTTAGATTACAGCAACCCTATAGGACAGAATAGAACTGCCCCTTAGGGCTTCCGAGGAGTGGATGGTTGATTTGAACTGTTGACCTTTTGGTTAGCAGCCAAATGCTTAACCACTGTGCCACCAGGGCTCCAGTCTTCTACAGGAGTGTGGAAATAAGTGCAACAGTCAACATGACAGTTGTTTCACGTAGTGAGTTTCCCACGTACATAGGTTTCTGGTACAGTCCAGACACAGATTTTTCCACTTCAGTCATCTGCATGCATAATGAATGTTGTACGTGTTGTGTTTCTCTTGTTACTATGGATATTATGGTGTTATGGAAGAGTAATCAAAGAGTATTTGTCCTAGAAAGTTTAGCAGGCTTTCACTGGAATATTAAAATGCTAGGACTAAACTATTTATCCGGTAGGTGGCACTCTTAGTCCTTGGACCCCAAAGTTCACAGTTAAATGACTATTCCTTTGTATTGGTTACAGATCATAACAGAATCCATGCCACTGACGTCTTACATGCTGTTTGGTATCTTACTACGCAACCTATTCCGGGACTCTCAACTGTGATTAATGATCAAGGGTCAGCAAGTGATTCAGGTATTTTATAAAGTGCATTTGTGTTCTCTTGTGAAAGATAGAAGCAAAAGAGTCTTGGAGTTTTTACTTTTCCTGTTTTTTTTTTCTTAAGAAAATCAAAGCCAATGATATCAGTTTAATATTTGTATACGATTTCTACTGTTTCCATTATCTCTTCTCAGATTCTGACAGTGGATTTACACATGGACATATGGGTTATGTATTCTCAAAAATGTATAATGTGCCAGATGGTAAATATGGATGTCTCTCTGGGAATATCCCTGCCTTAGAGTTGATGGCACTGTATGTGGCTGCAGCCATGCATGATTACGATCACCCCGGAAGGACTAATGCCTTTCTGGTTGCAACTAGTGCTCCTCAGGTAAAATCTTTAAGTTTTGATTAATAAAACAAAACTCACTGCCGTTGAGTTGATTCTGACTCATAGCGACCCTATAGGACAGAGCAGACTGCCCCATAGGGTTTCCAAGGAGCCACTGGTGGATTTGAACTGCCAACCTTTTGGTTAGCAGCCGAACTCTTAGCCACTACGCCACCAGGGCTCCGGGTTTTGGTTAGGGGGAATAGTTCAATATAGATATTTCACCCAAGAAACTTAATTTTATAAATTTGACTTCTAATAAACCATCAGGTAAATAGAAGCCAAATTATATCTAGTCATGGATAAAATTCTTAGAGACCATGCTAATTCCAAAAAGATGCCATGGCTTGTTCCAAGATATTACTGGTAAGTATGCACCTTTCTTTATCACCTATGAGGATTCCTTCTCGATTTTCTTCTTCGGAAGAAAAACTACTTGGATTAGTGTTAATGAACCTCCTTAAGAAAGAAAGTCCTACCGACACAAAGTCCCTTTCTGAAAAGATTAGAGAACAAAATCTTTCTTGAAAATAAGACTTCTTTGTACATAAATTACATTTTGTTAAAATATATTCTGTGTAATTATTATTGTTATGGTCTATTCAATGTATTTCACTTATTTGAGGAAAATTTTTTACCTGAAGATAGATTCCAAAAACAATGAATAACTTTTAAAGAAGTTCATTTTGAAGTATCCTTAATCTAAGTCAAAAATAAATCACTAAATATCATGGCATCTGCTGCTATATAATCAAACTCAGTCATCTTCCCCTTGACTTAATTATCTGGACCCATGTTAGTAAACATCCCAAGATCCTCTGATCTTCTTTCTAGAGGATTTAGAGGCCAATCTGTTACCATATTTACTTTTTTTTTTCCTTGTTTGCCTTTTGTCTTTTGCCTTACTCTCATCCTTCCCCACAGCCTCTCTTACAGACCAGTTTAGAATGTTTCTCTAATCTATGTACAGTGAAAATTGTCCCGATGTATTTTCCTTCCTACTAACTTTACCTTCTTTCATTGTGTCCTTCACACACCAGAATTATTTTCCCTCAAGATAGTTGGGCAAATCCTCTTGCCAGCACTATTTACCATTTAGATTTACTTATACTTCTCTGCATCTTTAATTACCCCAATATTAATTTTCATGTGCCTAATCTTTCCTTTTTGTTCTTATGCCTTTTTTCCCCTCTACAGCCTATCTTTCACACTAGTCTTCAAGCTTCCTGTAGGCAATTTCCTTTTCTTTTACTAGAGAGAGGCTAACATTGCTTATGGATGATTGCAGGATGAGAATGTTTTAATTGTGGGCTTCTCAGGGAGTCCATTCATCCTTGTTAGTTATATACGTATAATTAAGGTAATTCTCGTGCCAGAAGCAGAATGTAACTGAGTTACCTTCTAGGGATGCTGGTTTATTTATAGGTATACGTTTTTAATGCTTAAGTTCCTGTGCCCTACAAAGAAATCTGAAAAAGCTAACTCTGTTAAGATAGGCTTAATAGTCCTCACTTGCAAGAGTTTAGAATAAAGTTTCAAGGAAAGGAACTTATCTTATAAAAAGGAAATTAAACTAAAGGAAAAGTGACTTTCTTTTAGTTACATGTACAACAATAAGTGAATCTTAAATCACCAGGAGTCACAAGATTACATTTGTGAGTTTCATAAGAAAAAGCAATTTCAAAGACATTGCAAATTCTCGTTTATAGTTTTGATTTTTTTTAACTTAAAAAGTTGAACTCTTAACTCTCTTACTTATTTGCCTAGGCGGTACTATATAACGATCGTTCGGTTTTGGAGAATCATCATGCAGCTGCTGCATGGAATCTTTTCATGTCCCGGCCAGAGTATAACTTCTTAGTTAACCTTGATCATGTGGAATTTAAGCATTTCCGTTTCCTTGTCATTGAAGCAATTTTGGCCACGGACCTGAAGAAGCACTTTGACTTCGTAGCCAAATTTAATGCCAAGGTAACTTGACTCGTACCAGTCTTCATTTTATGGCCAAACTGAAAGATGTCACAAAACAAAAGTCTTGAACTGAACTCATTGTTATTGACTATTATGTGTCAAATGTGAAAATGCAGTGTTTATTCAGAAACAGTTATAAAAGCGTTGGTCCCAGTCTAGAAACCTGAGAAGTTGAAGTGCTATCTGTGTATATTACACTTTTTATTACATATTATTTATTATATATATAATATGCATTATATATATGTATATATTATTATATATTATACATGTAGAGGAGTAATAAAATTCTAACTGTAGTTGTGTTTTTTTCATTTGATTTAATTTGTGCCCATCCCTGTGGTCTATCAACGTAAATTTCCAGCAGTAGCAAAGATCAAAAAAAACAAGCAAACTTTCATACATTAAAGCATAAATACCCAGAATCTTAATTCAAGAAAATATCATTGGTAGCAATATTACTTTAATGGTAATTGATAATATATGCTAATTTTAATATAATTTATTGGTCAATTCCATAAGCAATAATTAAATATTTTATCCATCATTCATTACTTTCGTTTTTGATGAACTATTTTACTATTAATTTATGCAAACCATTAACATTATTTTAAGTAGCTGAGAAGTTCTTCAATACTTGGTATCCTGATCTCCACATGGTAGGAAGACAATAAATGTTTTATTGTTTTCTCTCCTGTTAACATTTTCTTTCACTGAGGCCAAATACATTTTGACTTTGTCTTTCAAACAGGTAAATGATGACGTTGGAATAGATTGGACCAATGAAAATGATCGTCTACTGGTTTGTCAAATGTGTATAAAGTTGGCTGATATCAACGGACCAGCTAAATGTACGGAACTCCACCTTCAGTGGACAGAGGGTATTGTCAATGAATTTTACGAACAGGTAATCAATTTAACTATTCGATTTATCTTAATCTAAACTCTGCTCGTGAACTCACCAGACGTTTCAAAAGCTATAAAGTGTGCTCATTCTATTTCATATCCATATTTACATCAGAAAATGTACTGGCTAATTTCTATCAAGGGATAGAAAATGACAGATGTAAAAACTGACTAAACTATAACCATAAATCTCTAAGATCAAGTTATCTGTAAGCACATGGGGGGAGGAAGATATTGGGATAATGAAATGACCTAATGAGATATTAGGCAGATCCTTGAAATATTGTTCTTTTATAGATTTATTTATAATAATGAAAGCAAGATTTAGTTTATGTTGAGGAATGTGTGTCTGATTAAGTTCATTTACTTTTCTGATAAAGTTAATAACAGCAGTAAATGATAAGCTAAAAAAAAAAGGCATTTTATTTGACTTGATAATACGAGGATCAACAAACTACCAAAAAAACTACGACAAAAACATAAGCATGAGTGTTCTTCCCTACATTACCCTACACTGATCAGATTATACTGGAAGCTTTGCATTCAGTACTGTGAACCACCCTCTTAAGGATATGGAGGTAATGGAACATGGACAAGGGACAAAGATCAGTGACATAAAAGAACATGAAAGAAGTGAAGATATTTACCCTGGAAGAAAATAGAGGTGATGTAATAACTGTCGTCTGATACTTAAAGGACTGGCATACAAATTTAGGATTAGGTTTATCATAGCACTGTTGTGGAGATTAAAAAAGATAAATTATATAAAGTACTTAACACAGGGTCTAATTTATAAGAAATATTAGTTCCCTCCCTACTTCCGTAAAAAGGATATGAATATGAGTACGCTATAGAAGTTATAGTGAGATAGATTTAAGGTCAATGTCAGGAGCAAAAGTATATTACTGAAGGCATCTGAAATAGGGTGAGGCACCTTAAAAAAAACCTGTTGCCATCGAGTCGATTCCGACTCGTAGTGACCCTATAGGACAGAGTAGAACTGCCCTATAGGATTTCCAAGGAGTGGCTGGTGAATTCGAACTGCCAAACTTTTGCTTAGCAGCCAAGCTCTTAGCCACTGCACCACCAGGGCTCCATGAGGCACCTTATGAAGTAGTAACTTGTCTGTCACTGGACATACTTAAACAAAAATTAGAGAGAATTTTTATGGATATTAAGGCAAGATTCCTGTATAGAAGAAAAGCTTTGTATTTTTTATAAATAATGCATTGCGTTTCCTAGGAATGGGTTTAATTTATAATAATTCCTGAAATCTCTGAAATTGTATGAAATATTGAAATATTTGAAATAAAGGATAAGGAAAATCTATTTATAATCTCACTACATAAGCATAACCATTGTTGGTATTCCTTCATTCATTTTGCTAGATAACTTCTGATGTACACTGTATTCATTTTTTCATAAAGATTTAAAGCCACTCAAAATAATACAGTATTTATACAGTAATTATGCAATAATACTATTAAACATATGGATTAAAAAGGAATATCAAAAAGGTATATCAAAAATCATGCAATTCCAGAAGATATAATTCATCCAAAATCTGGGATAAAGTGGCAACATTAATTGAGCAATAGCTCATTCTAAGCTTTCTGGCAGTCTGGTAAAAAAGGGAAACGTGGTAAAACAAGTATTTGTTTGATTAAAAAACCTTCTTCTTTCCTCTAGGAGTGAAAAAAAATTTCCAGCACTACATTTTATGATGCATTTATATTCTAACATAAGGGATACTGACTAGTGTGATAAGAAATATCAACTGAAACATTAAGAACCATTTCTTATATTTCATCTTGCTAAAAAGACACAACCTTAAGGTTACCAGGGTAGTAAAGGCAACAAAGCATGTCTTCTTAATGATTTGGGTAGAGTCCCTTAGCAGTCAAGTAAAGAGGGAGTTCTCACATGAGTGTTTGGATTGTTTTATATCTACTCATTTTAGATGTCAGGTAAATACTTCCTTGAGTTGCATTTTAAACTTTTCTTGTCCGTTGAACTTTCCCTCTGACTAGTCATGCTGAATTCCTGTCTCTAGGGTGATGAAGAGGCCAGCCTTGGGCTACCGATAAGCCCCTTCATGGACCGTTCGGCGCCTCAGCTGGCCAGTCTTCAGGAATCCTTCATCTCTCACATTGTGGGTCCTCTGTGCAACTCCTATGACTCAGCAGGACTAATGCCAGGGAAGTGGGTGGAAGACAGTGATGAGTCAGGGGACACTGACGACCCAGAGGAAGAGGAGGAAGAGGAAGCACCAACCGAAGAGAAAACCTGTGAAAATAATGAATCTCCAAGTAAGTTATAAAACTGGTTTCTAATGTGCTTTTCCTAGGTTTGTCTTCTTACACAGGTTCAGATGAATGTTATGCTTTAAATAATTCCATATTCTGAGACCAAATATTACCTGCTAGCTTTGACTCTGGATAGCCCTCTTCCTCAGTATCATAATATTAGAAATTACGTAGTCTGGAATCTATAGTATCTTAGTCATCCAGTGCTGCTACAACAGAAATACCACAAGTGGATGGCTTTAACAAAGACAAATTTATTAACAGTTAAAGTAGGCTAAAAGTCCGAATTCAGGGCGTCAGCTCCAGGGGAAGGCTTTTTCTCTCTGTCGGCCTTCTTCTCTTCAGTGTTCCCCCGGACTAGGAGCTTCTCTGTGCAGGGACCCCGGTCCAAAGGACGCACTGTGCTCCCAGCACTGCTTTCTTGATGGTATGAGGTCCACCATTCTCTGCTTGCTTCCCTTTCCTTTTATCTCTTCCACACCCCAGGGAAACTCCCTTTACGTTGGATCAGGGATGTGACCTGAGTAAGGGTGGTGTTACAATTCCACTCTAATCCTCTTTAACATAAAATTACAATCACAAAACGGAGGACAACCACACAATTCTGGGAATCATGGCCTAGTCAAATTGTTACACACATTTTTGGGGGGACACATTTCAATCCATGACATATAGTAATACTGTGTATCATACAAGGATATGTTCTCTGTCACAAAGTAAAAAAAATTAAATAGTTGAAGCCTATTCATCAGAATATCTTAATGATTTGAGATGAAAGGAATTTTTGTTACCATATAGGTCAACCAAAGGCTTTTATTGACATATTTAGGGGAAGGCCACATGAAAAGGTAAGAGATAGTATTTAAATATTTCAAGAAAGATTTATTGAGCACCTACTGTATACTAGGCATTCTTCCAGGTACTGAAGATAGATTTGTAAACAAAACAGAAAAAAAAAAATCCTTGCCATCATAGACTACCATCCTAATGGAATCAGCAGACACTAAGTAAGACAAATAGGTAAATCTATAGTATGTTAGGTATAATAAATGCTAGGGGAAGGGGGAGGAGGATATGAAACATTACAGACGGGTTGAAATTTTAGATAAGCTGTCCAGTTGTTGGTGTTAGATGCCGTCGCGTCGGTTCCGACTCACAGCGACCCTATGTACAACAGAACAAAAAGCTGCCCCATTCTGTGCCATCCTCACAGTCTTTGCTACGTTTGAGCCCATTGTTGCAGTCACTGTGTCAATCCATCTCATTGAGGGTCTTCCTCTTTTTTGCTGACCCTCTATTTTACCAAGCATGATGTCCTTCTTCAGGGACTAGTCCCTCCTGATAACATGTCCAAAATATGTGAGACAAAGTCTCGCTATCCTCACTTCTAAGGAGCATTCTGGCTGTATTTCTCTCACGAGAGATTTTTTTGTTCTTCTGGCAGTTCAAGGTATAGTCAATATACTTCAACACCATCATTTAAAGGCATCAATTCTTCTT